TTTACTTAGAAAGTATATATTTAAAATTAATATTTAAAGTTTTATTTTAAAAATTACAAAAATTAAAAGTGAATACAGGCAAATTTGCCTGTGTTACAAATTAAGAGATATAAATCCTCTTTTTTCCTTTTGTCTCAAATTAGATTTGATCCTTTCTAATATTCTATTATCTTAGAGATTTAGTCTTCTCTAATCTTCTATTAATTAATAGTAAAATAGTTCTAATAGTCTTTTAATTAGTACTCAATAAGTTCTGTAGTCTCTTATAGTTCTCTAATAAAGTTCTAAGTTCTCTACTAGTTTTTTAATAAATATAACCTTTTAGCTTTAAAAATAAACTTTTACTAATAAACTGCTATAGTAATATAATATTCTACTTTGATATCATTAGAAGTTCCTCTTCTATGTCTTATATTACTTGAGATGTATTAAAAAAACTATACTACTTGTAACAATATATAAAAAATTTAAGTAATTATTCAAATTTGTTAATAGTAGAATTTGAACTTCAAATTTCTTGTATAGTAATCTATCAACTAACTATTATATTAAGATTACTAAACTTAGATTTTATTATTTTTTATAAAATTATATAAGAAATATTTTATTAAATTTAAATTTTTTTATTTAAAAATATTATTGCAATAATAAAAATAATATTGTACTTATTAAGAAAATTAAATTACTAATCTAGTAATTAAAATTAAATGATATAATTTCTTTCAAAAATAAAATATATAATGAAATACTTTATATTTAAAAGAAATTTATTATTAAATACATAAATAAAAAAGAATTTAGTATATATTTTTTATAAAATTACATGTAAAAAAAATATATATATGATAATTATATAGAAGTACGTAACCTTATAACATTTTTGCATCCAACTCTTGTCTAATTCTAAAGAAAATTTTGATATATAGTATATTCATCTAATAAAATTTAAAGTGTAAATCGTAGTTGAAAGGTTAAAAAAAATAATAAATCTTATAATAAACAAAATCAGAATTTAATATAAACTTTCTATAAGAATAGTTTACATATAAAATTATTTATTTATTTATTAAGTTAACCTTCTTTTGGCTTCTAATAAAAGTTATAGAACTATATTTTCTGATTTTAATAGTAATAAAATCATCAAAATCGGTTTAGTAAATCCCGAAATATTAGTATTTTTTTTTTTTTTTTACTATACGATTTTTACTATTGCAAAAAACTTTTGGCATTCCACTTACTATAAGGCAATTAGTAAATGCCCGCCGATTTTTTACTAAGAAATTTTAGTCCTTCAACTGCGGACTACCCTTTAAAGTTTTTTGCTTACTCGTTTTCAATATAATTCTACGTATTCCAATAATATTATGAAATGATCTACAAAAATTAGCCAATCGGAATTAAAGCCCACTATGCTAATTTTAATAATTTATACGTAGCATTAATTTAACAAATTATTAACCGAAAATGGGACATATATTTGGGCTTTGGTTATTACAGTATTATCCCAAATGAAGTAGAAATCCCAATTCCCACACCCAAACTATGTAGTAATGTCATAATTCAAAAAAAGGTTTGGGACGCAACCCTAATTAAAATGAACCTGTGTTAACCTATAAACGAAAAAAAAAAAGAATTTAAAAGAGGTTAGTAATTTGTCACATTAAATAATCATTTTTTGTTTTTTTCTTTTTTTTTTAAAAAAAAAAATTTACCTTATCTTTCAAATGCCCCAGCCATTGTTGATATGTGACAAGAACCGTAACTGCCATCTTCTTTTACTATATAGAGATTAGGATAATAAACATCTCGCTGGGATTCTCGAGTTTTACCAATAATCGCATTCACTTGTTGTGAGAATGAATTGTCTAGTTGTAATAGGGTACACTATAATTCAAGAATGATAGGTTTTAAATATTAATGGGTGACTTAGAATTACAAAATTACAAAAAAAAATATATATATAATTTGACATTGTCTACCAAGCCAGATTAAAATATTTTGACCATCTTCTAATAAATATGCACCATAACGTTCTAATTTTTCGCTACTTAAATTAAGAGGGGTGGCATAATTATTCCATTTGATCCATATGTTTCAACCTTATAAGAATATAATAAAAAGATTAATTATATATTTATATCAACTTATTTGAAATTCTAATCCCAGAAATTAAGTTTCTTACATAAATAGGCATGTAATGAATAAAAACATGGATGCAAATATGGAATCAATAGTTGAGATGGCATTGTCGTCAATAAGCACACTGCATAAGACCGTAAATCTGTTGGAATTTGTGAACTGGCACGTAAACCGATCTAAAATGTGAAAAACAATGATAAATAGTATAAAAAACTAGATAACGAAACATACATGCTTAAGTAGCCCAAGTGCTAACAAAGGTAGCAATTTCATATTATCATAAATTTTAATTGAGGTTAAGCTCCTTGAGACCCAGTAATAGATTGTTCCCAAAATATCAACCATTTTATTTGTTAACGCATCTCGTGCAACTTCCAACTTCGAAGATAATGACCTTTCCACCGCTAATTATAAAAATAATTATATTTAAATTACGCGTGAATCTTTAATATTTAAAAAATATGCTCCATGTTTACCTTTATTTGCTAATAATGTCGATATAGCTATTTGATCAGATGAAAAAAGTTCACTTATACTATTTGTCACTGAAAATGCTAATGTCAATACACGAATCCTTCTTTCGCCTATATATTTAGTATTTATGAGACTAAGAAATTTTATTGTAAAAATCCAGAGAAAATTTAAATAATTACTATACCAAAACAAGTTGTATGTAAAAGAGCAGTTTGGAAACAACAGTTAGGTGTAGTTATATTATTTTCTATACCAACTTCGATAGTATAAGAGTGATCCCTTGAAACATTCGGTAAAGCGAGCAAGTCTGTTTGACAAACAAAGAAATTACCGTGAAAAACGACATGCGTAGCCTAATAAATATTTTAAACTGATTGTATGTATATTAAAAAAATAAATTGAATTTTCGCAATAAATCACTATAAATAAACGATACCTTTAGAAGCTCTAACACGCATTACAGCTTCTAATGTAATGGGGCAGGCCAAAAATTCTGCAAATTTATGGACGAACTTAAGGGCATCTTCTGACCTACCTGCGTTAAATGCAGGATAAAAGTAGATAAAAGTAGTATTTCAAACAGATAAATAAATAATAAGTAAACTTGTGAACATCAATTATAAAAATAACTTTTTTATGACGAAAGAAATAAACGTACTCAATGTCGCTACGTCAGAATACTGTGACCCGAGTAAGAACATGTCCACACAAACTTGAGATCGAAACAATCAACAGTAAATTTTTTATAAAAAGGCTCAACAGATTGTAAAAGAGCAGATTCCTGTGTCAAATAGTTTAATTATAAATTTAATGCCCCAAATACTCTTTCGATACCATAAGGTAATGCACAAAATACTTTTGGTGTCCCCAATGCTTTAGAATCTTCTCGAGGTTTCAATTGACCTGGATTGATATTTGGTAAACTAAGATTGTAACACTATAATATTACCACCTATCGAAGACTGAATAGCAAATAATAATAGCAATATAAGTAAGCTTACTAAACCAAAGACAAAACTAAAATTACGATAAAAAATATATATTACAATTAATTTGAAACCAGCCAGTAAGGCGGACCCCAGAGCGTTGCCGACAATATGTGTATCTTTAAACATATCACCAAGGCGACCAAGTAATGACTCAACTACTGAACGAGCTTCGGTTAAATTTACTAATAAATCATCAGGTTGTATCCACAGTAATGAACCCGAACTTTGTACGATTATTTTCATTAGGATTCGATCTAGTGATTCTAAATGGTTCTTACGGCACCTTTGATAATTATATTATAATAGTTAGATATTTTGAAATAAGGTAAACGTTTATAATTTAAATATATGAATAGAATAATAAGGTTATTAAGAAATACACTTAAGCACTCGATTCTTTCGCGAATTTAGATTTCTGTATTAATTTATTCAATAAACGGTACAAAGAGATCTATTTCTTAAATATATGAAACAAGATAAGTATTAAGAAATATGATAATCTCATTTACAAAATTGGGTCGTCATATCTACCATATATTCCGTAAAAGTCCAGTAACATTGGTTACAGACCTATTTATAAATAAAAACTAAACACTTTATTCGTTAATATATTAATAATAATAATAAAAATAAAAAAAAAAAATCGAGACACTTGGTTTCGGAGATAAAAATCTCCTACTTGTCCCAACCACCACGAAGAGGTGTGTCTCATAGCTGGGAAGGTATTGATAGGGTGTATTTCAGTACTTAAAAAAAAAAAAAAAATCTAAATTAAAATTTAAAAAACTTAAAACTAAAAAATCTAAAAACGCAAAAAAAATAAAAATAAAAAATAAAATAAAATAAATAAAATAAAATAAAAAGTAAAATAAAAAAAAAATAAAAAAAGGGTACACTTCCTAAAAATACCCCAACTCAACTCTAGCATCTTCCGCCTTGGAGTAGGTTGTTATGGTTGCTATTCGCTCTCACATTGAAGCTAACACGGGTCAGAAATTCTCGGAATTTGAAGTAAAACTTCAAAAACTATAGCCGTGCGCCCCTTATGGACCTTTTATCGGATATTTCCAAGAAAGGTGCATAACCGATTCCATTTTGTGCCTTTCGACCTCTATCGGAATCGGCAGATCTTGGACAGGGAAGATGCGAAAAGGCCCATAATACATGAATTCATGATATGCGAAAGAAAATGCAATTACGTAATCATGAATCTAATTTTTTCTATCGTGTAAATAAGCTATAGTATGTGGCGACCCTTGATTACGTAACTATAATTTTGAAGAAAATAAAAAAAAATAAAAAAATTTTTACTATAGCTTATCGAAGAATGTAAAAAAAAAATTCTTCGCTATCAAAGATCTTTAAATTATTACTAATTATTGTTACACCTGATCTTAATCGCGTGATTTTCGAATCAAAACAATCCAAAAACGGGTCGGGTTAATCGAATCAAAATAATCATGTGAATGATTTCCTTTTTTTTATTTGATAGACGTGTTAAGTATATAGACTAACTTTCTCGTAATTGGTTAATTTTATACAACTGAATTTATACACGGTTGTTCGTCAAACGGACTTGCTCTCTTTACCGAATGTTTCAAGGGATCACTCTTATACTATCAAAGTTGGTATAGAAGAAAATATAACTACAACTGTTTGTTTTCAAAACTGCTCTTTTATCTACAACTTGTTTTGGTATAGTAATTATTTAAATTTTCTCTGGATTTTTACAATAAAATTTCTTAGTCTTATCAATACTAAATATATAGGCGAAAAAGGGATTCGTGTATTAACATTAGCATTGCCAGTGACAAACAGTATATGTGAACTTTTTTCATCAGCTTATCAAATAGCTATATCGACATTATTAGCAAATAAAGGTAAACATGGAGCATATTTTTTAAATGTTAAAGATTCACGCGTAATTTAAATATAATTATTTTTATAATTAACGGTGGAAAGGTCATTATTTTCGAAGTTGGAAGTTGCACGAGATGCGTTAACAAATAAAATGGTTGATATTTTGGGAATAATCTATTACTGGGTCTTAAGGAGCTTAACCTCAATTAAAATTTATGATAATATGAAATTGCTACCTTTGTTAGCACTTGGGCTACTTAAGCATGTATGTTTCTGCACTTGATTTGTATCTAATTTTTTATACTATTTCTCATTGTTTTTCACATTTTAGATCGGTTTACGTGCCAGTTCACAAATTCCAACAGATTTATGGTCTTATGCAATGTGTTTATTGACGACAATGCCATCTCAACTATTGATTCCATATTTGCATCCACGTTTTTATTCATTACATAACATGCCTATTGATGTAAGAAACTTAATTTCTGGGATTAGAATTTCAACATAAGTTGATATAAATATATAATTAATCTTTTTATTATATTCTAATAAGGCTGGAACATATGGATCAAATGGAATAATTATGCCACCGCCTCTTAATTTAAGTTGCGAAAAATTAGAACGTCATGGTGCATATTATTAGAAGATGGTCAAAATATTTAATCTGGCTTGGTAGACAATGTCAAATTATATTTTTTTTTTATAATTTTGTAATTCTAAGTCACCCATTAATATTTAAAATCCACCATTCTTGAATTATAGTGTTCTCTATTACAACTAGACAATTCATTCTCACAACAAGTGAATGTGATTATTTGTAAACTCGAGAATCCCGGCGAGGTGTTTATTATCCTCATCCCTATATAGTAAAAAAGATGGTGGTGATCCTTCATTGCGGTTATGGTTCTTGTCACACATCATAGTGTTATCAACAATGGCTGGGGCATTTGAAAGATAAGGTAAATTTTTTTTTTAAAAAAAAAAAGGATTATTTAATGTGACAAATTAATAACCTCTTTTAAATTCATTTTAATTAGGGTTGCGTCCCAAATCTTTTTTTGAATTATGACATAACTACATAGTTTGGGTGTGGGAATCGGGATTTCTGGGATAATAACCAAAACCCAAATATATGTCCCATTTTCGGTTAATAATTTGTTAATGCTACCGCTACAGTATAAATTATTAAAACTAGCATAGCGGGCTTTAATTCCGATTGGCTAATTTTTGTAGATCATTTCGTGGATATTTGAAATATTATTAGAATTGAAAACGAGTAAGCAAAGAACTTTATAATTAAAATAAAATTAACGTTAATAAAATTTAAATTTTATTAGATGAATATACTTTATAATGAAATTTTCTTTAGAATTAAACAAGAGTTTGGGTGCAAAAATGTTATAAGGTCGCGTACTTCTATATAATTATCATATATATTTTGTTACATGTAATTTTATAGAAAATACACCAAATTCTTCTTTACCAGTGTCTTTAATAATAAATTTCTTTTAAACATAAATTATTCAATTATATGTTTTATCTTTGAAAGAAATTGTATTATTCGATTCCAATTACTGGATTAGTAATTAATTTTCTTAAGGGTAGGGGATACGTAGATCATTTTTTATATGAAATTGATTGTATATTTTTTTTTATATAGTGATCAAAATTTTGCTTCTAATAAAACTTTTTTAATTTTAATTAAAATTTATAAATTTTTTTTATTATATATAGTTTAAAATAATATATTTCTTGTTATAAAATTTTAAAGTCTATTTGGTTTAAAAAAATCATACTTGTATATATCTTAAAAAAACTTTAACCCAAAAAAACTTAGGTAGTACAAAACTACTCTATTCTTATTGGTTAATTCACATAAATCTATAATGTAAACTTTATAGTAAAAAATAATACATGATCTTAAAATTAGTATATTTCAATGAGTTTTATATTAATTTTAATAAATTTACTACTATTAGAATCACAAGAACTTGCTCTACAACTTTATTTAGAAGTATAAAAATATTTATTCAAGAAAATATTTTGTAATATTAAAAAATAAATAAAGTACTATTAAATTTATATTTAATTTTAAAATAGTATTTCCTATTCTTAAATTTATGTAAAACAAATATAGTTTTTAAATTTTTAATATAGAACTTATATTCTAATTTTAAAATAAAGTTTTTACTATAACATTATTTAATATAAAAAAAAGATTTATTTATAGGTCTAGTGATTATAGTATAGTGATTAATTACCAGACTACTATACAAGAGGCTTGGAGTTCAAATTCTACTATCGATAAATTTGAATAATTACTCAGACTTTTGTACTCAACTTACAGTAAACTCTGTTTATTTCTAGGGGTTATAACTCTATAAATCATATTGCATTAATATCAATTAGATATTAGAAGTATGATACAATATTTGAGTTATATTGCATAAATAAATCTTTATAAGATCTACAGATAGAAAACCTGTATAATAGAAATACTAAGTTTGGTGAAGTAGTATGATTTTAACAGTCAAGCTAACTAATACTTGATCTAGTAAAAACTTGAGTACAAAGAATAATAATCAAGTAGATATGAGTAAGACTATTATGAATTTGCAACCTAGTACTGACTACAAATAGCAATACTAACTTGGCTTAGTAGCTAACTAGATTGGAAGGATCTACCTCTTAAAACATCTAGTTAGAACTTGGAGAACTATATCTGGTGGAGAGCTACAGCAGAAACTAGATTCATACAAACATCAATAAGGGTCTAATTCAGATGAATTTGTAAAATAAGCATATGATCACTCTAGTAGAAAATATTTCTAAGATTAACTAGAGCTCTGTATGCTCATACTATATTAGGCAATATATATCTCAAGAAGATCTAAGCTATGTAGTAAATAGATCTACATGTAAGTTAGCTAGCATAAATGATTAGATATAGTAGTGATATTAGTTTAGAATAGAAGGAAGTATTAATAATTAAAGTATTTAAATAGGTAACTTATAAGTGAGTTACAGGTATAGTAGTATAGTATAGAACTAACAAATAGTTGATTGTCTGTATAGCAGACTACTTAAATTAGACAATAACTAAAGTTGTATATGTTATATACTTATCATATTACTATAAAATCTTAGAAAACTATTCATATAATAGTTCTATAATAACAAACTAATAAAATCTAATCAGCTAAGAAAGTGGCCTTAACAATAAAAAAAAAAGATTTATTTATTATTATTTTTCTTAATATCTTATTAGCTAAAAACAGATTTAAATTATACTATTAGATTTAGCTTAATTAGATTTTTCTAATAAGCTATATTTCATATCTATAGAATATATAATATTAAGTTATTTTAGAAATAATATTAGA